AATACTTGGAAATAGCTGTGCATATCTGGCAATACCTTGATGGTCTGTCGCTGCTATTGTGTGTTTGTGCGTGTGTGTGTGAGGCTAAAAATATTTCGATAATTTTGGATGATTTTGGTTGCGCTGCTCGTCTATCTATTTATCGTCTGTTTGCCTGACCGCACACAGGTGAGAGACAGGTGAGTGGGTGGGGTCGCCGATGCTAACCCAGTGACATTTAAACCTGGACCCACACCTGAAGCTGGTCCTGGCCAATGTGCCCCAGCCATGCCGCACGCGCACAGCGTTCAATCAATTGTTTTTACAGCTGGCGGCGGAAGCAGACCGTGGGGCGGTTGGGTGGTTGAGCAGTTGGCTGGCTAGCTGTTTGGTTGGCGCTTTTGAAGCGCAAAGTTTGCTACGCTTTTGACACGTTTCGCAAATATTTGAGCACGTCTAAAATGGCGCAACGTTCGCGGGGTGCTCATATTTTGAATTTGAGGCCCAGCCTCCTGCTGCCTGGCTCCTGTTGCCTGCAGCCTGGTTCCTTCTGCCATCTGGCATCGTCTTGCCCCACTGTCGTCGCCAGCTCGTGGGCAGCTCGTGGGCAGCTCCTGGCCAGGGCGTTGCGTGCCAGCGCGTACTTTGCCCTTGTCCATGGCTTTAATTAATTTTCGCTTCCGTTAACAATTTTTATGTGCGATTTGCGGATTTGAAAGGCGGACAGAGCTGCTTTGTACAGCTGCTTCGTGCATGTGCTGATTTCGTGTTTATGCTTTCTTTAATTTGCCACTAATGCCCGCACAACTATTTGAGTAGTCGTATATGCTTGCTATGCCATTTGTGGCACAGAAATATTTGCCGGATACATGCGATTAGATTGGCCCAGATTGCAGTCCAGCAACACCACCACCAACAACAACAACTACAACAACTACAACAACAAGTATAGAGAATGGGCAAAAGGAGCGTGCAACAAGTTAATTACGCCATTCGAGCTGCTATTCAGCTAAATATTTATTGTGATTTTATTTTGATTATTGCTCAAATTATTTGGCATTCCAACTGCGCCAATTGGCGCTGCAGATGCCGAGCAAGTTAAATAAATAACAAAATGCCAGCAAGGATGTACGAAAATAATCGGAAAGTCTTTTGAAGTTCCAAAGTAAAAGCAGCGACAACGTCAACGATATAAAGTTGGCGCTTTTTGGCTTTGACGCACGTAGCAGCCGATTTCAAAGTTTTTCCAACAGTCTATGTGTGCGCGTGTGTGCGTGTGTGTGTGTGTGTGTGAGTGTGCCTGGAAAGCCAAAAAAGGAATCGACATCAACAACAAGCAGAGACAGGGTCGTGGCTTGGTCTTTGCCTCTGCTGCAGCGCTTTTATTAAGCTTATAAATTTTTTATTCAAGACTTTTTACTTTGAACGAGTTGCACGCAGCTCGCGGGCAAAGCAGAAGTGGGAGAGAGAGAGAGAGAGAGAGATGAGGGAGAGTGGGAGGGGAGAGAGCAAGTACGACACTCATGTGACATTTATTTGAGTTTTTCCATTGAATGTTGCCAGTAAATCATGGCCCAATTTCTGACACGAAGCCCTTGCCAAACTCCCCGTCATAAATTATGAAATCGTTAATGCCACACTAACTAAAATAAACTAAAAACACACACTTTTAGACATTTCATTTCATTAAATGCCCAGCGGGTTGCAAATATATTTGAAATTTTCAATAACCCAATCTAACTCGAGGAGGGGGAAGGGGAGTAGGAGCGGAAGCGTGGACAGTGCAAAGCTATAGCATTGAGGCCTTTTTGGCTTTGGGCCACATGATCTGACAACATCGGACACAGCATTTAATAACGTCCACTTGCCCTGGCACTAAACTCGCTGCTGTCGCTTCGCATATCCGATTTCAATATTTGCCAACTGAACAACTGAAATCGAATCGAATCGAATCGAATCGAATCGTTGCACTGACAGCTTTTCAAGCCTTCAATATTTAACCAACTGCTGCCCTTTGGACATGGACAAGCTAAGCATAAATATTAATGGCAAAGTAACTAAATCGGCTGTCAAACTACTTTTAGGCTCAATCGAGATATGCAGCCTGTGTGTGTGGCCAATGAGCCCAGCTGATTTATTTGTTATAAGTTTACTGATGTGATTAAGAATAAATTGTCAAAA